CAGGGTAAACTGTTCCCTCGATATTCTTTTCATAAGGGTCTTCTGAATCGCTCTTTGTCTGGTCCCTCACCCAGGACCAATTTGCCATGGGAGACCCTACCAGGGGACAAAAGCCCCCAGACAACATAGCCCCTGGGATCCCTGGGACACACAAACCCCTCCACCACGATAAGGTAGCGATTCAAGGAGGAGGTCTCCTTTCCCATGAATTTGATTCTAATTCCTGCCGCGGTGATGTTAAATTGGGGTGAAACGTCATCATAGCAACTTTGACTGACAACTGCAGTCACAGAGAAACAGAGTACCTCTGTTCGGGAATACAGATAGAGCGTAGGCTCTGAGAGGAGGGCCAGCGTTTACTTTTCGGAAACACGCCTGACTGTTTTACCCTGACAGCCTGAGGTGTTCTTCGGTAAACTGGACTACCCAACAAAAGGACCCGCTGCACTTTTTTGGTAAAGCTTTGGTACTACACGATGCACCACGCACTGTGCGATTTTTTTCAGTCACGTTAATCAGCTTCTGCTCAAACTGCACGATTGACTCGCAGAGGTTATAAGTTCATAGGTCACGATGCAGGGTCTCACACTATACGGCCCGATGCTCTGATGTGACCCGAGTGCTCACACTGTGCGTCCATAAAATGAAGGTTATAACAGAAAATCTGTCGCTTGCTCTCCCTCACTGTCTTTTACTCACACAGCACCACCATCAACTTTGCTACATTGCTAATGAAAAACATTGACCAGGCAGCTGTGTTTGAGCAGCAATGTAAATCCAACTATTTTCACGGTTGTTGTGGTCGTGATAATTTTGTGAGGCCACATCGAAAAGGCTCGGATGAGCTTTCCAAAGTTCTACAAGTTGTGCCTCCATCGCTTGTGTCCAGATAACGCTGCACTGCTGTGCTACTCTGTCTTTTTCACCGACGTTTATGTGTTTGTGCGTGCGCAGCGTGAGCGGCTGCGGTGACACCCTCACAACGGTCGTGAGGATTTCAAACATGTTTGAAATACTCCCGACCAAGCAATTTCTGATTGGGAGGTGTTAATTGCTTCTCGTTACACCACGTATACTACACGATGCACCACGCACGATGAAGGCCAACCTCGGGCCGACCAACAAAACGGTCACACGACTCAAAAATCGGCTTAAAATAGGCCAAAGATTGCAAAGTGTAAGCCCGGCATTAGTTAAACGTGTTTGCAAGCTAATCCGTAACTACTGTGCTTAGCTAGGTCCTGAGACCTCGCTAGCTAAGATGAACACTCAGCTGTCGGGGAAACTTGCTTTGTAAAGTTTGTTTAGCTAATCCGTGCAGGTAAATGAATTTACACCGACTAAAGAAATCAAGAGAAACGCCCCGGGGTGCTCAGTCACTAATTATCGTTACTGTACTTTCATTACAAGTTATATACTGTAAAGGCAACAGGCTGCACTCTGCTTCAGCTCCTGTGCAGAGCTGATTATTAAATATGTGCAAAGACCAGCATGTTTTCAGTCTCCACATGTGTAAAGACAGTAACACTATTTTTTTAAGCTTGTACTTCAGTAACTCCTCATTAATCTGTAACTATGGATTAAACTGTAGAATTGACAAAATGTAAGATCCTGAGTGTGTGGGACAGAGAAGGATCAGCTTTATTTCAGATTTGAGAGATAAACATTATATTTCAGTTTGTGATGATTCTGTTCTCTTTGTGATTACAGGAGCTGCCCTCAGATTCAGACCTCAGCACCACCCAGTGACAGCAGACAGATCATCCAACATGTTCACATGTTAACTGCAAAATTAACTGATGAAAACAGTACAAAGGTTAAAGTACCACATGTGCTGTCAGTGAAAGCTGCAGCTGTTTTATTGATAAGGTTAAAGACAAAAAGTCAAAAGTATTAATCACCCCTGTAACTGTGTCACTGTATATCAGCATTACCAGGACCTCAGTTTGGTGTTTCCGAAAGCTGCTGATCTCAGACCTGCACAGCTTCCATTGTAAACACTTGATATACTCAGCTGCATGAAGAGCACGTTTGAGTTTCTCTGACACAATAAAATAAAACTTGATGAAGGTCAAAGGTCGTCACTTGTATGTTTAACTATAAACTTGTCATCTGGAATTCCTTTAGAGTTTTTTGCAGATAGTGTGTCATTTACCATAAAGTGATTCAGCTACTCATGTCATGGTCCTGGGCCATGTGGGCCCAGTATTCTCAGTTTTTGTGTGTTTTGTACTTTATTCCCTAGTTATGCCTTGGTTCCTAGGATTATTTAGTTAAAATGTTCCTTATTTGGTTACCTCCTGTGTGCCCCTGTGTATCTGTGAGCCCTCGTCTCTCCTTGTGTTTTATTCT